TTAACATGACTTATCAAGAGTTAAGGTTAAGTAAGATTTTTGCCTGGTGAAGGGGAACTGAGTATGGATCTTTAAAAAACATTTTTAGAATCTCAGTAAACATTTTTAAAAATTTAAATTTGAACATTTTCATTTGTGGTGGTCATAGTCAATACAATGCTTTTTAAAGACAAAAGTGATTACAGTAGAGAAGTCCTTACAGTACAGAAGAATAAACCAAACCCTGGTCCATGACCACATAAGCATGTTTCAGACCGGTTTTTGCCTTTAGTTGAGAGGGCTAAATGACATCTTAGTTCTCTTTCAACTTGAGATTCTGTGGTTTTTAATTGATTTTATTTCTGCACTGACCTAAATTTGTCATTAGCCAAACACTTCTTAGAAGTTTCTAAAAATTTGTATAACATTTTAATCTGTTGTGTGTTAATAACTAATGAAGATATATGGATTCCAGTTAGCACTTTTGTGGTGAAATAGCACCATAATGTTACTGGCGATTGGACCTCGGTTCAGCAACCTCGGTACTTGAGCTCTGGCTAAGAAAGAATTCAGAGCCAAGGCTCAAATACAAGCAAAAGTTTATTTAGAAAGTCACAGAGGGCCAGGCTGGCGTGGCTCAGTTTGTTGAATGTCATCCATGTACTGGAAATTGCTGGTTGATTACATGCTTGTGTTGGGTGTTGACCCCCAGTTGGAGAGTGTACAGAAGGACACTGATTGGCTTTTCTTTCACTTCAATGAAAAATGGGTGAAAATTGAAAAAATAAATAGTTATAAAAAAGGCACGGAGTTAGAGAAGTGAGCTGTGGAAGAAATGAGCCAGCTGGGCCGTGTGGGCTCAGGGAATAAGTTAGAGGCAAAAAATGGGCCTTTGGAACTTGGGAGAAAGCGAGCAAGATGTACACGCCCAGGGGAAGGAGAGGGCAAAGGCGAGGGGCACACTCCAGAGAGAGAAGGAGCACACTCTGAGTGCTCCCTCCTGGGGTTTTATTTGCTCTTTAATAGCGGAGGGAGATCTTAGGGCAAGTCCCAGGGGAGGATCTCAATGGAATGTCCATCTCCTTCCCAGGATGTCCATCTCTTTCAGGGCTGTGGTCCCAACTTATTGGTTGGTGCCAGGGTGGGGGTCATGAGCCATCACGGCTGGTCCTAAAGTCAGCCATGGCATGTGTGGTGCCACCTCCCCCCCTCCCCCCTTTACCCCCTTCTCCCCCTGTTAGCCTTGCTGTCTTTCTGGGCCTGGAGCTGAAACACAGCGGAGGCCTGGTTTGACCAAAACTCTGTCAATAGACGGGAGACTTTATTCCTAAGGTCATTGGGTGTGGGTCAGAACCTCACTGTCCTGAGAGGTTAATGCCTAAGGGAGTGGTCATGCAAGAGCTGCATGAAGTCCTTTGAGGCTGTTCGCAGGCTCCTCTGTTTCTCCTGTGAGGGAGGCTGCCACGTGACTAGCGACATGCCAGGGAGGAAAGGCAGGGGAGGGTCTGAACATCCACATATACGTCAGGGGGTCTGGACCTCCAGACCAGCAGTATCGGGGGAGGAAAGGCCATCCTGGGGGTGAGGCTCTTGTTTTCCCAGTTCTTCCCATTGCTAGGCGCCTGGGACTTTCCACCCTGGCGATATTCCATACCAGGCCAATATATTGCTCTGGCTCTGCTCATGTCTGTCTGTCCACTACAGTACCAATTTACACCAATATATAGAGAGAAGCACAGACTTTTTTTTACTCAGTGATTATACATTTGTTTACATTACATTTTATTCTAATAAGTATATGGGTTAAAATATATTTCCTAAAACAATAATTTCCTTAGGTACTGTCTTCGTTATATATTCTAATAATCCTCAAGATTTCCTTCTATATAAAAGTTACGCTTTCATGAGATATTTTAAAATCAGAGGCATTGTTTCAGGTGTTGTTTTGAAATGTTGATCTGAGCAGTGTAAGTTGCCAAATATTTTTGCAATCACTAATAGCCATTATTTAGACATCATGCGGAGACAATTGTTATAGTCATACCTTCATTTAAATTTGAATAGTTTAAATATGTTTTTCTGATATCAAAAATTCTAAAGCTTTTATTAATCTGTCACATGAAAATAATAGTTTAATATAACTTTCTGACATGTTATGGTATCATGGTATTTTAGCCATTCTTTGGCAAGAATATACACAGTCAGTCTGACTGTAATTTTCATGAAAAGGGCAAGAAGGGGAAAGTGATGTTTTAGTTTGGGTTTGGCTTGCTGGTTGGCATTACTACCTGGAACATTGGATAACAGTGTTCAGAATGAGTATTAGAATTGTTAAACCCATTTTATTGTGTAATATGTATGCCCTTTAATTTTATAACCAGCAAAACATTTGAATTAGGATGCAGTGTGTTACCATTTTTTAAGTGCAGTTCAGTGTCATAAAGTACACATTGTTGTGCAACCACTGCCACCATCTCTTTTCAGAACCTTTTGATCATCCCAAACAGAAACTTTGTACCCATTACATAGTAACTTCCAAACCCCACTCCTGGCAGCTGCCTTTCTTTTTTTTTCTGTGAGTTTGACTATTCTATGTACCTGTAAATGGACTTAAGCAGTACTGACCTTCTGTGTCTGCCTTATTTCACTTTCTGTCTTGAAGACATTCAGTCATTTTGTAGCATGCATCAGGATTTAAATTCTTTTGAAGGCTGAGAAATATTCCATGCTGTGCATATACCACATTTTAAAAAAATATATTTTATTGATTTTGTACAGAGAGGAAGAGAGAAAGATAGAGAGCTAGAAACATCAATGAGAGAGTCATCGATCAGCTGCCTCTTGCACCCCTACCCCCCACTGGGGATATGCCCGCAACCAAGGTACATGCCCTTGACTGGAATCGAACCCGGGACCCTTCAGTCCGCAGGCTGACGCTCTATCCACTGAGCCAGACCGGTTTCGGCAACCACATTTTGTTTATCCATTCATCCATCCATGAACCTTTGGGTTGTTTTCACTTTTTGGCTACTGTGAATAATGCTGTTGTGAGCATTGGTATACAAACATCTGCTCGAGTTCCTGATTCATCCAGAAGTGGATTTTCTGGGTCATTTGGTAATTTGATGTTTAACTTTTTAAGGAACTGCGGTACTGTTTTCCAAGGATGATGCTATTATTATTATCACCATTTAAGTTGAGGAAACAGGCACAGAGACTCAGCCACTTGCCCAAGATCTCACTGCTAGTATGTAGAAGAGCCCAGTTTGAGCCTAGGTGTCTAGCTCCAGGGCTAGTGCTCTTAATCAGTAACGACTGTCTCTGTTGTATCAGTTTTAGCAATAATGGAACATTATGCTCTCCTAATTAGGGAAGATGAGCTGATATCAATCTTTTGAGAATTGGACTATATCAAACCAATATTTTTATTCCTAATACTAGAAGCCCGACGCATGAAGATTCATGCAAGAATAGCCTTCCTTCCCCTGGCTGCCAGCGCCACCTTTGCTCTGGCCCGGAGCTGCCTGTCCACCTTCCCATGCTGCCCAGAGGCCCAGAGCTGCCGGGGTGGGGCGGAACACCTGTGTTGTTGATTTGGCGATGATGCAAGCGTCCCTCCCTGCCCCTGGTCACTCCGCACCTGAGTATGCAAAATAACCCGCCATCTTTGTTAATGCATGCATCCACAGATCAATGCTCTATCCACTGAGCCAAACCAGTTAGGGCTCTAGTATATTCTTAACACAATAGCCAAAGCGAATATAAGCCAGGCCATATCACATCACATCACATCACATCACTGCCTATAAACCTTCAGTGCTTTCTCATCTCATTGAAAGTAAAAGACAAAATCCTTAATGTAATCCCTGTATAGAATCTGTCCTCCACCCCAAAACTCATCTTTTCTGACCTTATTTCTTGCCCTTCTGCTTTTCTGTTCTCTCTGCCTAAAAACCATTCTTGCAGTAATTTATAGGGCTCTTTCCCCTCCTTTGGTTTGCATAGAAGTCAGCTGATCATGAAGTAGGCCTTCCCAAGCCATCACACCGCCCTTTCCCCCACCCACACTCCTAGCACTCTTCACATGCCTTCCCTGCTTTATTTTTTCCAGCACCCTTTGACTTACTCTAAATCTTTTACCAGATATGTGTAAGCTTATGTATCTCCCCAATAAAAAAAACCCAGGGAGCCCTAGCCAGTTTGGCTCAGTGGATAGAGTGTCAGCCTGTGGACCAATAGGTTCTGGGTTCGATTATGGTCAAGGGCACATACCGTAGTTGCAAGCTTCCCTGTCCGGGCCCTTGTTGGGGTGTACATGGGAAGCAACCAAATGATGTGTTTCTCTCATATCAATATTCCTCTCCCCCTTTCTCTCTCTTCATTCTCTCTGAAATCAATGGGAAAATATCCTCGGGTAAGGATTAAAAGAAAAAAAAAAATCTCATGGAGGCAGAGATTTTTGTTTGTTTTGTTCCTTGCTATAACCTGAACACCTAGAATAGTGTCTAGTATATAGTAGGCACTCCATAAATAGTCATTAAATTACTTTTTAATTCTTTCAATACCAGTTGTTGCTTTTGTATGCTTCCCATCCCCCAACTTTACCCCCCCCCTCCCCCTCAAGTGTAGGAAAAGCAAGGCAGGTGAGCAACTAGTGCACCTCAATATCAGTGGCTCTGAATCCTTGGCCTCTCAGGCTACTGCATGAGGTAGAGGGTAGGCTGTGTGGGAAATGTTCTATATCTTTATCTGGGTGGTGGCTCCATGACTCAGTATTTATGTAAAAACTCATGAAGCTGTGCATTTAAGAGTAGTGCACATTTGGTACTAAAAAAGTCTAAAAAAGTCTGTTCCCTTCTTTGAGATCATCCGAGGAAGTTAAACATGCTGAATGACAGATTAAGATGATTAGGAAGGAGTTCTGCATATTCTTTCTTACTGAGAATTTCTAGTTTATTGAAAATTTTCTATTGAATTAAAAATTAAAGTAAAATAATTTTTGTTTCCTTTGTCTTTTATAGAGCTACTAGTAGCAGACATGCAAAGAAAAATCAAAGAGGCTTTTGAAGTGTTTGACCATGAGCTGAATAATACAGTGGATGTGAGGTTTGGAAATACTTTCTTTGTTCTTATTCTAAATTACTGATATAACTCATAAAATAGAAGAAGTCTCTTTTTTTAAACATTCCTTGGATTTATCATGCTATTTTAGGTATTTATGGTTGCTCTGCCCTGTAAAAGGTCTTTTGCTAACTACTGCTTCAGGTCCATGCTGCTTTTTATTCTTTATGGTCTGGTGAAAAGAATATATCTACATTGCCTGTTCCAAACTAATTCTGTGAGTTAGAGAAATTCTACTGTAGCTTTAGTGCTAGACACAGAGTTGGCATTCAGTAAATATTTGTTGAGTGAATGCATAGAATTTTATTTTAAAACTAGAAGCCCGATGCATGAAGATTAGTGCAAGACCGGGCCTTCCTTTCCCTGGCTGCCTGTATCGCCTTTCTGCTCTGGAGCTGCCTCTTTCCACTCCGGCCCTGCCTTCCCATGCTGCCAGAGGCCCTGCCCCAGCCGCTGGGTGCCTGTGTATGCAAATTAACACTCCATCTTTGGTTAATTTGCATATTCACTCCTGATTGGCTGGTGGGCGTCACAAAGGTATGGTCAATTTGCATCTTTCTCTTTTATTTGTATAGATGGGTAGATGTGTATTATCAAGCCATGAATGGGAAATTACACCGATTAATAATGCTTAAGAGGGATACATGACCCAAGTAAAATAACAAAAAGAAGCAAAAACAAAAGAATATAAAATGATGAGAGAAAGACATGAATACCAGTAGATCTAGAATGGAGGACAGGAAACAGAATAGTTTGAGACCAGAAAAAAATAAAGGCAGAAGGCAGTGGAGACATCCATGGATGTAATAGAAGTTGTAGGATCCTTGCCCCCATTCCGTGTTCCTTCCCCTTACTCTGCTTTGCACACATTGAAAGATTTAATGGCAATGTTTGCCACAGTGGATAGAAGTAATGTCTCTCCACAGTGTCTCAGCATTGCTTTAGAAGGAAACTCCAGGATAGTGAACTTTCTACTTGGGCAGCAAGCAGCCATTTGACAGTGCTGAATTTGGAATTATTTAGACCTTTCACAACAATGAAAAATGTTTCAGTCAACTGACTTAGTAAATGTTAGGGTTGCTGAAGGAGGACTGCATGAAGCCAAAAGTGGTAAGGGATAAGAAATTAGGTCATCTGGAGATCAGATGGGCTGAGCCCCCAAATGGCGCCAGCACCTAGGGGTGGGGTGGGGGGCAGAGGTTTTCAAGGACTCCAGGCTTTTTCGGGCTCAGTGGTTGAGGGTTGGCCTATAAACCAGGAGTCATGGTTCAATTCCAGGTCAGGGCACACAACCCAGATTGCAGGCTCGATCCCCAGTGTGGGGTGTATAGGAGGCTGTCAGTCAATGATTCTTTCTCATCGTTGACATTTTATTTTTTATTTTTATTGATTTTGTACAAAGAGGAAGGGAGAGAGATAGAGAGTTAGAAACATTGATGAGAGAGAGTCATCGATCAGCTGCCTCTTGCACACCCCCTACTGGGGATGTGCCTGCAACCAAGGTACGTGCCCTTGACCGGAATCGAACCCAGGACCCTTCAGTCCCCAAGCCGACGCTCTATCCATTGAGCCAAACCAGTCTCGGCTCATCGTTGACATTTTTATCTCTCTCTCCTTCTCCCTTCCTCTCTGAAATCAAATAAAAAAAAAATTTTTTTAAAAGAGGGAATTTGGCAGAGACACGAGGGGAAGCATGTGCAGGGAGGAAAGACCAAGTGAGGACACTGTGAGAAGATGGCCGTCTGAAGAGAGGCCTCAAAAACCAACCCTGCCAACACCATGATCCTGGAGTTCAGCCTCCAGCCTGTGAGAACATAAATGCTGTGTTTGAGCCACCCAGTCTGCTATTTCATTGTGGCAGCCCTAGCAAGCTAATAGTTAGGATCATGATGATAGTGGTGGTGCTTTCTCATAAAGTTAGCTCATATGTGTACTTATTTGAGTGTGTGTGTGCTTTCTCCTGCTTGATTGTGCATTCCATGGTTAGAGCAGGGACCTTGTCTGTCTAATGCTCGATAGTAACCTCAGTGCCTAAGGCAGTGCCTGAGCCATAGGAGATCCAGGGTTCTTCCTTTGGGGAATGCAAACTCTAGCACATAGGACAGAGTAAGAAATAATAATGGAACAAGTTAGAATCAGAGGGTTTTCTGAAAACATATTCTAGTAGCAGAAAAATGTCACTTCATTAGAGGGGTATTTGGAAAAAGAGGCTTTTTTTTTTTTTTTTTTTTTTTTTTTTAAAGCAGTTCTGCAAATGAGATTTAGCCATTATTTCAACTTCATTTCATGGCTTTGTCAAAATAAGATAGTCTGTGAAAATTGCCTTCGTTGAGGGCAAAGTTTTCTCTGTGTTGACTGCTCTACTATATGTGGTTCTAGGCACATAGTAGTGTGCAATAAATATTTATTAAATTAATAAAAATAATTTCACAGCTTTTTTTTCTTCTTATGAATTGCTTTTAATAGTCTCTTATACTTAGCCCAGTGTCAGTTATTCCACAGAGGGTAAAATACTTTGCTGGTTCTTTTCTCCCTTAGAATTGCATCAGTTGTCTTGAATCAGGTCTTCACTTTTTGATGTTTTGACCTTAGATTGCCCTTAAACTGAAGTCACACAACCTAGCTCAATGGCATTGGCTCCACCTTGTGTCAGAAACGCGATACCACACACACTGAAGGCTGGCTTGCTAAGAATCAACATGCCCCTCCCATCCCCCTCACACATTTAAATGCCCAAATGCTGTACATAAATCAAATGGTGATGTCACTCTTGGGCAACTTATTGCGACTCATTTGTTGTGAAATGACTTTGTCTCCATGTTTAGTACTGTCTGTATACTCCAATACAGAAACACATTCTTACTATTTAACCATAAAGGCTTTTAGTTTGTAGTTCATACCAAGAATCAATGGCCTGATGTTTTTGTGGCCTCTGTTTTTTCTTGGCCTGCTCCTTTTTCCTTAGCTGACCTTTGGGAGCTTACTACGCCTCAGTTAGCTGTATGGTTCTCCCAGGATGGCCAGGTTCCCAGCTCCATCCAGAGGCCATCTGACCCCTCTGCTGCGTTCCCAGCTCTTGACACAAAATTGCAGAGTGAAAGGAGCTCACGGGATCACCATATTCTGTCCTCCGGGCGTGTTTCAGGACATGAGAGCAGGAGAACCTGAGTCATCTGTGTTCCTGCTCTAATTCCCTTTTTTCTCCTCCCAGGGACTCCGTGCAGGGACTTGGGAGGCCTCCTGAAAGAAATGCACCTCATTCCATTGCCTTTTGAGGAAGGCACACGTTTGAGAAGAACAGCCTGTTAGAGTTTAAACACCGCCTCCCTTCCTCTACCTCTGTCCTTGGTTCATGTTCTTCTTAGTCACCCTCTACTTGGCCTTGACTGGGCAGGGCCATCAGCCAGCCTTCTGGGGCCAGAGGTCACGCTGACCGTTTTGCTGGGAACTGCTCATCTTTTGAGAGTCTGAGCCCAGTGCTCAGTACCAGTCAGTCATGCAGCCCCTCTCATCCTTGGCAGCAGGGGCAGTTCACAGCGCTGCCTTCCTCACTCACTGTTCCGCCCTCTCTCCACATTCTTATTTCCTGCAAGGAACAGAAGACCCGGAGCAGCCTCAGCTCAGCTCATCTGTGTGGTGTTATAGATCTATCCAGTGTTCCCAAGTTTTCAATTTCAGTTCTACAGTGCTGAGTAAACAGGTTGTAACTCACTGTGAAACCGAAGGTTAATACATCCTTGATAATCAACATTTCAAGCCAAAGTGATAAAAATAGTATAACACAAAAAAGCCAGTTGTTTTATAAGTAGTTTAAAAAGGCAGGATTTTTTTTTTTTATTATTCCTTATGACTTTGGTTTTGATTGTTGAGACTGAAATGTGCTTATGTGTATTTTTTTAACAAACACCTTTTCATAAAAAATTCCAAACTTTTAGACAAATAGAAAGAATGGTGTGCCAAACTGCTATGAACTTTCACCTAGATCCCTCAGCGTTTTGCCAAATGAGCTCTTGCTTGATGGACTCACTCACTCTGACTCTCTTCACATACAAGGTTGTCCTAAAAAAATGTATACACACACTTTGAATAATTATAAAGGCAGTGTTTATAAAAATACATTTTATTTTCAAAATTGAGCCATTAGCTGTTAAAGTGTGTGTACATTTTTGGGGACATCTTATATATGCACATTTATGCATTTTATTTAATGATCATTTTCATTTTGCTGTACTTTTTGAGTAAGTTGTAGACATTGTGACCTTTTTCCAGAAATTCTTCAGTATATATTTTCTTTTAAAAAAAATGTTTATATTGCTTTTTAGAGAGAGAGGATGGGAAAGGGATAGAGAGATAGATACATCAATGAGAGAGAAACATCATTGATTGCATACCCTACTGGGGATTGAGCCTGCAACCTGGGCATATTCCCTGACTGGGAATCGAACCAATGACCTCTGGGTTCATAGGTTGATGCTCAACCACTGAGCCACTCCAGCTGCCCAATGTATATTTTCTGAGAACAAGAGCATTCTCTTACACAGCCACGGGTTTTGTGTGTGTATTTTAAAAGATAATCTTAGAATCAGATCATGGGGAGGACGTTAGGAGGCATTTGCTCATTCCTCTGCTTCTGCAGATAAATTCTTTGACAGAACAAAATCGATATTTTCCAAGGGTTATAAACAGGGGCCAGGTCTGTAACACAACTGTGTGAATGAGAAGATATAGGACAGTTCTGGTGACATGTATGTATGCGCCATATAAACACCAACACTACGCAAACAAAACCTTCTCTGAGGGCCAGGTCTGTCCCTTGTGCTAGGGTCTTTTCCGTAGCTAGGGTTCAGCAGTCTGGAGAAGGGCTGCGAGTAAATGAATAAAGAGACTTGAGAAGAAATGGAAATTAGGGAGGCAGGGGAGAGCCAGGGGAAGCTCCACTTTCTAGTGAAGTGGACTCTCCGAACGTCCGGACCCACGGCTTTTTATTTGCTGGAAAACACATTGGCCCCTCAGGAATGCAAACAGGTGAAGCTTGATTAACAGGAAAATATTATCACGTTAGGGGAAATTCCTTCAGCTATTCCCCTAGCAGCAGGTAAACTGGAAAAGATTATGAGGTTAGGGCAGTGGTCGGCAAACTGTGGCTCTTGAGCCACATTCGGCTCTTTGGCCCCTTGACTGTGGCTCTTCCACAAAATACCACGTGCGGGTGCACACGTACAGTGTGATTTAAACTTCGTGGCCTATGTGAAAAAGTTGGTTTTCTGCTCTCAAAAGAAATGTCAATCGTTGTATAATACTATTGATATTTGGCTCTGTTGTCTAATGAGTTTGCCAACTACAGGGTTAGGGGAAATGCCTATATCTATTGCAGATCTTCAGCCCTGCTGAAGGTCTGTCAGCCTCCTGATGAACTTTTTGCATAATTATGTCCTGCTGGAATTTGCCACCAGCACTTTGGACCATACCTTTGTGATCCTTGGATCTCTCTTCAAGGTTCCCATGGGGTGGAATTTCCAGATCTCTCCTTAGAAGCACCTGTTACAGTCAGGAATTCTCCTTTAAGTCTAATTAAATTCTCAGCTGAGATTTATGCAGTCAGCAGTGTGCAATGGTTAAAAATACGGATTCCACCTGTCTGTGTTTGAATCCTTTCCTCTTTTTACTAACATCTTGGGGAAATTACCTAACTTTTCCTCATTTGTAAAACAATAAAAATAGTACCTACCACACAGAGCTAATGTGAGGATAAAGTGGATATGAGTATTTAAAGCACTTTAAAACAGAGCCTGGAAGTCTAAAAAAATTTGCTATCTCTGTATTCTATTACTACTGTGTTTCCCCGAAAATAAGACATCCTCTGAAAATAAGACCTAGCGCATGGAAAGATAAGACATCCCTTGAAAATAAGACCTAGCACAACTTTGGGAGAAAAAATTAATATAAGACACTCTTATTTTCGGGGAAACAGGGTATAAACCCAACAGCCTGGAGGTATTTTTTTTCTCACCTCTGGACAGATCATATGAGTGAGATGTGAAGACTGTTCTTTCTAGAAGTCTTAGGGAAAATGTCTGCTCCTAAGCCAGAAAGCTAGTTAACCTGCTTTTCTCACCTGCCTCATCCCCTGTTCTACCTGTCCCTCCGGTCAGACTCTCCACAGCTCCCGAGATTCCCCTCGTCCCGTGGAGGCTGCTGCTGGAATATGGCTATAGGTGCCTCAGAGCAAGTTAGTTAACTGCTTCTCCTCTGTTCAGAGTGCATGTTCTAAGACTCTTGACCACTTGCCCCGCAGAGAGATCGGAACCATCATCAGGTCGTTGGGATGCTGCCCTAACGAAGGAGAGCTGCACGATCTGCTTGCAGAGGTGAGCGGCCAGCAAGGTTTGTCAGCAGACACTGTGCGACTCCGGCTCCTCCTCATTGGAAACCTTTTCACCTGAAAGTAAAAGGCCCTAAACTGATAAACGGTGCAGTGAAAACATGAGGGCAGCTCTGGGAGTTATCCAAGCAGCAGGCTCTGAAAGAATTAAGAGCAGATCTGAGAAAAATGCTGTCACTAAGTATCGCCGTGGATCAAGCGAGAGCCCACTTTAGGGAGTGTGTTCTCTAACATTTAGTTGAAAAAAGGCCAGTAGCCACAGGGACTGACTATATACAGAAGGGGTATGGACAGATGACAGGAGCATTCTAAATAAAGTCAGTTTAAAGGGGCTAGGTAGAAGCAGAAGCAGAGATTAAGGAATTTATGTTAATTTGGAAATGGGGACGGAAGGGGCCACATGCTAACCTGACAGCCCAGGGAAGGCCTGCATGGCGGTTTTGCAAACTCAGAGACCTAAAGTCACCACTGAGGATGGTCTGAAATGAAACTTTAACTGAAAGCAGTTATGGTGGGTAGTTATGTCCTAGGCCAGTATCTTCACTGACAAGGTCAACCTTTACCTTAACTGAGCCATCTGTCTTTTTGCATCTACAATAATGTATCCTTGAAATGTCTGGGTAACTTGTAACTTCCCTTTTTCTGGACCCCTGGGGGCACAACCTAATGTGCCTGGGTGCCAAGACAGATAACACAAATTCCTTTATTGTTATCATGTTAATAGTTACTATTGGCTATCCTACACCATCTAAGTATGTGTCTATCGTTTTTTTACTTTTTATCTAGAGGTCTCCCCACCCTGCTTGCTTTCTCCCACCTCTCCAGTCTATCACCAGTGGATTTCATGTGACCCACCTACGTCCCTCCTTTGATTGTAGTGTATGAAATAGATGGGAACCTGCCATTCTCCAGAGCACTATCCCAATCTGTTGAGGTTCTGCTTCCCCGAAATTGTTGACAGTTTGGCTCAAATAAACTCTCAAAAGTTCTTTACAGGTGTGAATGTTTTTACGTTAACAGAAAAAAACACCCAGCTTTCAGAACAAATAGTAAGCAATAAAATAAAACTTTGCATTGACCAAACAATCTAAGAATGAAAAATACCTGGTTATTTGCAAGAGTGTAGATGAAGGATAGACTTATCTCGTGAGGCTGTACTGAGCAGCACAGGCCAGAGCTCCATGCCTGTTCGGTTTTCCAGAAAAGTGTCTGGTCTCATTTCAAGTTCAGCTTTCAGTTCAACAAAGCAGAGCCCAAAAGGAAAGTCGCTGCTGGGCAACCACCATGAGACAAGTGTTTTTAGAAGTACCCTAACTGGCTTGGCTCAGTGGATATAGCATTGGCCTGCGGACTGAAGGGTCTTGAGTTCGAGTCTGGTCAGGGCACATACCTGTGTTGGGGGTTCAATCCCCAGTAGGGGCTGTGCAGGAGACAGCCAATTAGTGATTCTCTTATCATTAATGTCTCTATCTTTCCCTCTCCCTTCCTCTGAGATTAATAAAAAATAAAAATTAAAAATTAAATATATAAAGAAATGCTTACCTAGGTGTGTGGGTTTTGGTGGAAGCTAAGGACAACTAAGAGAATAACAGGAAAAGAGAAGGAAGTGGGATTTTATTCCCTTCTTCCTCGCACCTAGCACAGTACTTCCTTGCCTAACGGGATACAGAGGAGAAGCAGTTGTGGCTGGATGAGTAGCTTAATCTCTATCAGTTTCTCCATAATAATACCTGTCTCAAAGTTTGCTTCAATGGTGAGTGAAATGATGTATAAGAAGACATGTTTTGAGTCCTCAAGCACGATATAAAGTTAAGGAATGGAAGATTAGAAAAATGATTCTTTTGCCCGCATGCAATGATTCTTTTTACCGGCCCTTATGTGCGACCTCAGCTTCTGTGGTTACACCTCTCTGCCTGGCTTCCGTTACCTGGGGGTGGGGTGGGCTGCTGGCCAGAGGTGTGTGCACCTGCCTGTTCTAGTTGGCCGTGGCTGCAGAGGGCCACCCCAGGACTTCTCAGGGGTGCCCGTGCCTTTCTCATCAGCACATTCCTCATGTCCTTGGGGAAGAGGACAGTTCTGAGCCCTCCCATGGGACATCATTCTGCTGTGGGTTTCCCGATTCCTAATATACCATTCCACCAGCCCCATCTCTCAGCTCAGCATTTCTTCTCTCCGGCGGGTCACCACTTATTCCAGGTGTCTAAGGAGCCATCCTCTTCTGTCATTCTTGCCAGGGTGTTAGGTCCTGTGTCCGGAGAATGTGCCCAAAGCCAGTGCATTCCCGCTGATCCAGTCTTCCATGCCAGCAACTTTGGCAAACTCAGCCACTATTGGGGTACTCCTCAGCTCCTCTCGTTCCTTGGGCTGTTTCAGTGCATAGTCTCTTCCCTCCCTCATCAGTCCCACATTTACTCCCCCAGCCTGATGGCTTTTCTGGGGTTTAAGCCAAGTATTCCATGTCCCTGCTGGGAGAGGAGAGGGGCAGTTCCTGAGGGTGCTGTGGCCAGGCCAGGGACATGCTCTGCAGCACAGCGGCGTGCTGCCTTCTACCAGGGAGGGTGGGTGCAAGCCAGCGTGTCTGGAGTCTCCACCTGGATGTCTCCAGCCCATGCTTCAGTGTGCCAGGGTTGTGTGGCCAGGGCCCTGACCTCAAATACCGGTCTTGGCTGTGCAGTTCTAACTTTCATGCCTTTTTATTTTATTTATTAATTTAAAAAAATATATATTTTATTGATTTTTCACAGAGAGGAAGAGAGAAGGACAGAGTCAGAAACATCGATGAGAATCATCAATTAGCTGCCTCCTGCACACCCCCCACTGGGGATGTGCCTGCAACCAAGGTACATGCCCCTGACCGGAATCGAACCTGGGACCCTTGAGTCCGCAGTCCGACGTTCTATCCACTGAACCAAACTGGTTTTGGCCTCTCATGCCTTTTTAAAAAATATGTTTTTATTGATTTCAGAGAGGAAGGGAGAGGGAGAGAGAGACATAGAAACATCAGTGATGAGAGAGAATCATTGATTGGCTGCCTCCCTGCACACTTCCTTCTGGGGAGTGAGCCCGAAACCTGGGCACATGCCCTGGGCCGGAATTGAACCTGGGACCCTTCAATCTGCAGGTTGACGCTCTATCCACTGAGTCAAACTGGCTAGGGCATAACTTTCATGCCTTTTATTTGTGGATGTCAATCTGTGGCCCATAGGCCAAATCCTCTTGGACAGCATGCTGAGAATGGTTTTTACATTTTTAATGGGTCTGAAATGCTCTCCACAATAGAAATAAATGAAAAAGGAAAAATAAAAGAAGTGCAGAGGTTGACCACCCGGCTTCATATGTTGCCGAGTCTGCTTACACCGCTGTTGATAAGGGCTTCCTTGTAAGCCATCAGAGAGGCTCCCAGGCTTTCACATGTACTTGGCAACCGCTTGGTGCACTGGCCCTCAGTTCCTCCTCATTCTGCAGGGCAACAGTGCGACCACAGTCACCTCGCCCTTTGTAGGCGTGTTCTCCCCCATCTTTTAAATGCCTGAACCATGGCCCCTGCAAAGGCTTTTCTCTCTACTGGGGTTCTCCCAGGTCACCTCTGGTTAACCCCTTAGCAGTGAGCTGCCAGGGACTGTCCCCCACACCTCAGCATCCTTCTCCTCCTCGGCAGAGAGTGACATCTCATCACCTGTCTCCTCCGGCCTCTGCCGGCACCACTTGTGAGACTTCGGGTGCTGAGGAGCTACAGTGAGCATTAGGTGGTCAGAGGTTCGTCGTGGAAAACACCAGTGAGGGGAACGTCAGCCAGGGGAGGCCAGGGGAGCCGTCAGGACACAGTACAGGTCTGACGCTGTGAAAGAGGGAGGGAGAGGAAGGAGGGAGGGCTTCAGACTGAGCAACTCCGGGAAACAAAGCAGTGGGGCATTTTCAGTCAAAACTTGGCCCTCAGAGGAGTCCGCCTCCTCAGGAATGGCACTTCTTTAGTGTCCCCCACTGCTCCGTTCCTGGCTGGGATCAGCACAGGACTAGGGTGACCTTGGCACAGACCTGATTGCTAGAGGCAGCATGCATTGACGGTCCTGCGGTTGGAGGTCTGAGTGGGTTTTCCTGGCTGCCCCAGTTGTTGTCTGGGAGAACCGTAATGTGAGCCAGGGGTGGAATCTCCAGGAGAAGATGGCCAGCGAGTTGGCTGCCCCGGATTTCCTACCTCTGAGCTCACCATGGCCGCCTCTCGTGTTCTGGAATGGAACCGAGAAGAGAGCTGCTGAGGGATACAATGAAAGCCCTCCTCAGGGCCAAGCAGCGGGCATGGGAGAGCGAGCGGAAGCATCAGCAGCCAGGTCTGTCAGTGAGGATCAGAACGGGCCAGGCTTGTCCTGGAACTCGGTCCTGGGGTAAAGAGATGACTCTAGCAGGGGCGATGGTGCCACTGTTGTCCTCAACATATCTGTCTCTTTAGGCGAACAGCTTTCCTACACGTCTGGCATTGTGGAAAGGGGGAGGATGGAATAGATCTGCTCTGATGTTAAATGATAGGGCTAAAGCAGTGTAGACCTGAGGTACTTGGGGATTATCTAGTATTGGCTATCAGCCATTATTACAGAATAGAAAGAAGTGAAGTTGGGCTGGGGTGGGGGTTGGGCGGAATGTGTTGTACAGAGAATACACTGAGTTGGATTGTAGTTTCATTGTAGTTGGAAGAAAATAATAAATGTGCTAAAGTGTGACTTGTTGCCTCTGTCAAATAGGAGCAGACACCCCTGGGGATAGGAGGGACACTCGTGCCCAGGTGGAGAGAAGCTGACACTGATGGGCGTGAGGCACTTGGTGTAGCGGAGCCCCTCAAGACCCCTGCCACTTCCAGAGGGTAAAATGGGGAAATTAATGGCTTGATGGCCACTGATGCCCCCATGGCTCCAGATTGTACAGACTCACAGTTGGAAGGGACCTTTATCAATGACCTGGTTTAGCCACCTGTTAATTCTTGGAATCTGAAGG